AGAAATTCAGCGGGTTGGGGACAGGGTAAGAATGGTAGGAACAAGGCAGGTCCTACTTGGCTCCTGTGAGTGGACCCTTAGGGTCACCAGTGCCCAGATGCACAGTGGCCTGCCTGGAGGCCCTAAGCATACATGAGAGCCTTAGCAGGAAGTTGACATTTAAATTCCTCAGGGCCCAGAGTCCCCATCGAGGGACTTTAGACGAGAGTGAGGCTAGGCCAGAGGGACACTCCTCGTCACGTTTCCTCCCAGTTCTTGTGCTGGATTCCATCACTTCACAGCCCTGTGCTCCCTGTTGCCCTGCAGAGCCTTTTCCTCGGCGGAGGGGGCATTGCCTGGCCAACCATGCCTCCACTTCCTGCTCTAGCCGGGTCCCCCCATCCTTCTCCCATGCCCTGCTGCAGGTCTCCGCTCCTCGATCCCCCGGGTCAGTTGCTCTTCCTCACCCTGTGCCAGTGACACTACTTTGGGAGTGCAGTTCCGGTTCTCGGACCCACAGCTGGGGTCTCTTCCTGCCTCCCCCTCCCCCCCAGAGGCCCATCTGGGCAAAGCACAAACAGACCCAGGGTGTAAGAGCAGGTGGGAGCAGCCTCTCTCCGTAGGCGCTGGAAGGGTCACCGGCTTTGGTTCAGCTGGTTGTTACTCCCCTGTGAGAACCTTCTAGTATGTTTTTGCTTATCTGGGGGGGGGGGGGGAGGGTGTGCTGAGGGTCACTCCCCATAGTGTAGGGGATAATGGCACCACAGGACCGGAACCCAGACCTTCCGCATGCAGAGTGGGCGCTCAGCCCATTGAACTTGCTCCCGTAGCCACTAGCTGGTGTCTTAACTAGCAACACCTGTGACACTCAGCCATCAACACACACCAGAAGCCCGGGTCAGAGGTGGTGACCAAGGTGGCATATGTCACAGTCTCGCCTGTTCTCACCTGTGGCCAGGGCAACACTCACGTTTGCGTGTTGGTTGATGGCACGCAATGGGATTTTTTTTATGGGGTTGGGTGGGTAGGTTTGGGGGCTCAAGGCCGTTCCCTGACTCTGTACCCATGAGTGACCTCTCGAGGTGCACATGGGGCCTTATGTGGTGTTAGGGATCTAATGTGGCCGGCATCGCCACGGATTTTGGTCTATTGATGTCAGCTCAGGTGCAATGAGCCCTAAAAAAAAAAAAAAGAAGAAGAAGAAGAAAAAGTCTAGAAGGAAGGGGAAAGAAAAAAAATTCCAATGAAGCAGAACACTGGCTTTGAAAGCATTTAATAAGAAGTTATAATCAAACAAAAATTTTGTTTTTAAAAGAATCATTTACATTCGGTACATAAGCGAGACAGCTGAAAGCTTCCAAAATAGAAACCCAGAGCATATGTCCCCGAAACGCCACATGCTTCTCGATGCAGCCCGTTTGGGGCACAAAACATGGGGATGGTACGGCCACCAGGAACTCAGGGACACGGGGTTTCAGCCACTGCCACCAGAGGGCCTCAGTTAAGGGTGGGTAGGTGGGAGGTGGGGGTGTCTCTGCGTCTTTTCTCCCCATTAGAGCCCTGCTTTCGCCGAGCTCTGAGCAACACAGACAGGATGTAAGAGCTCTTGAGAAGATTCTAGTATGCACGGCCTAACCTAGAAATGCAGCGGGTTGGGGACAGGGTAAGAATGGTAGGAAAAGGACAGGTCCTACCCGGCTCCTGTGAGTGGACCCTTAGGGGTCACCAGTGTCCAGATGCACAGTGGCCTGCCTGTAGGAGGTAGCCTTGGCAGGAAGTTGGAAACTAAATTCTTCAGGGTCCCGCAGGAGTCGCCATCAGAGGGACTTGGACAAGAGTGAGAGTAGGCCAGCAGGGGGCAGCATTTCCCCAGTGAGACAACCCAGAGGCGGCAAACCCAGAGAGGGGTGTGTGTGTGTGTGTGTGTGTGTGTGTGTGTGTGTGTGTGTGTGTTTTAACGAAAGAAGTGCTGTGTGAGAAATAAAAACAGAGGGCTGACAAAGCAAGCATTTGATCAAGTGTGGACTTTTTCTTTCAATCAGTTGCTGCTTGCTATGGCCAAGAATGTGTCTAACTACCTCTGGGATACCTTTTTTTTTTTTGCTTTTTGGATCACACCTGGCGATACACAGGGGTTACTCCTGGCTCTGAACTCAGGAATTACCCCTGGCAGCGCTCAGGGTACCATATGGAATGCTGGGAATAGAACCTGGGTTGGTCACGTGCAAGGCAAATGCCCTACCCTCTGTGCTATTGCTCCAGCCCCCAGGATACCTCTTGATGTCTTCTCCACTGGCTGTAAGAAAATGCTTTCAGAAGTGTCCAACCCGACACATCACTGGGTCATTCTTGTGATTCAGCTGGTCCGACGGTGTAGATACAGCCCTAAATTCATCTGGGCCGCTGGCCGACCTTTGTGTTAGTCTGAGACACAAGGTCTGGGACGGGAATCTGAGACAATGCAGGTGCGTATCTTGAATGCGGCCAACACTGATTTCTTCCCTGGCACCCGGTGGTCCCCTGAGCATGGCCGGATGGAGCCTGAGGTGGGCTGGGTAACCGTCGCAACACAGAACCCAAGCAGCTCTAACTGCATTGAGCCATCTATTGGCCCAGAATCACCGAGAACACTGCTTGGGCGACACCCCTCCCAATTTCTCTTTAATAGACGAAAGAGACACAGACAGACACACAAGACACACATCATACACGTGTATGTCATGCGGCGGACAGCCCCCACCGCTATGGCAACAGGGCGGCCTCTCTTGAAAGATACAGCTCAAGGACCAAAGCAACAGTATAGCAGATAGAGCACTTGCCTTGCACGCGGCCGACCCAGGTTCGATCCCCAGCATCCCACATGGTCCCCTGAGCACCTCCCAGGAGTAAATCCTGAATGCAGAGCCAGGAGTAACCCTGGAGCACTGTGGGATGTGGCCCCCAAACAAAGCAGAAATACAGCCCGGTGTAGTGGTCTCAGGTCTGGCAAGAAGGGGACGAGAAAGTGAAGGTGGGGGGAGAGGGGTTCTCTCTCTGCACCTCTAAGCTGTGCCTGATCAGTTGAGGAGATCTGTTCCTCAAGGATGAGGAGTGCCAGGAGTTACTCGAGATGGTCCTGGAGAACCCACAGCACAGTCGAGGCTCAGGGTCAAGGCCCGGCCACCCCCCACCCCCAGGTCAGGAGAAACAGGACCCTGGCAGCTGAGTCTCCCCAGCGTGTGCCTGGGGGTGATGTGTGACCGTGGCCGGGGGAGGGGGGGTTCAGGCATGCTGCTTGGGTCAGACCTTGTGGCCTAGGCTGGATCCCTAGCGAGGAGGGAGTTGAGATGCATTTCCTCAAGTCTTCAGACTTGCAGATGGCCCTGGAGGGCGCCCACTGGTGCGCACTTCTGGGACTCAGCCTGTGGCTTCAAGGGATGGCCTTCAGCTTGTTTTCTCAAGAGAGGCTAACGTTGTTCTTGCATGAATTTTCTTTAAAATTGCTCAGAGGGGCTGGAGCGATAGCATAGCAGGGAGGGCATTTGCTTTGCACGTGGTCGACCCGGGTTCCACCCCCAGCATCCCCTATGGTTCCCTGAGCATCGCCAGAAGTAATTCTGAGTGGCCCGACTGGCAACGTTCAAGCTGAAATGCTCCACCTTCAGTGCTCTCAGACCCACCCATCTCTCCCCTCCCAGTGACCCCCCCACCCCCGGCGCTATGAGCACCTGCCTGAGTGCATGAGCCAGGAGTAACCCTTGTGCAATGCCAGGTGTGACCCAATGCACTGTAGCACTGTCCTCCTGTTGTTCATCGATTTGCTTGAGCGGGCCCAGTAACGTCTCCATTGTGAGACTTGGTGTTACTGTGTTTGGCATATCGAATACATCATGGGGAGCTGGCCAGGCTTTTGCCGTGTGGGTGGGATACTTTTGTAACTTGCTGGGCTCTCCGAGAGGGGCAGAGGAATCGAACCCGGGTCGGCCGGGTTGGCTGGGTACAAGACAAGCGCCCTACCCGCTGTGCTATCGCTCTAGCCCAGGTGTGACCCAAAAGCAAAAATAAAATAAAATTGCTCAGAGAAAAGCAAGGTGGGGTGTAAGTTGGGAGGAGGCGGAGCTCCTGACACCTGAGGCGAGCTGGTGGGGGGGTCTCAGGAAGTCAGAGCCAAGGAGAAAAGGGGTCCAGGGGTCCCAAGAAGGATTCAGTCCATTTGTCATTCTTCCCCCTGCGCTCCTGACTGGCCATGTGCCCTCGCTGGAAAGAGGTAGAGGGTCTCCCAGGCCCCCGAGAAATGGGAGAGAGGAGGGTTCTGGATCAGCCTGAAGGTTCTTATTTTGGATCCAGGGAAACCCGCCCCCCCCCCCACTCCACTCCCCCTCTGGTCTGGAAGTGGGAGGAGCAGCCAGCCAGTTTTTGGAGGGGGAGCCGTTTCCCGTGCTCCCTGGAATCCTGAAAATGTGCAAAAAAGAGGTGGCATAGCAGGTGATGCTCAGAGATGAGACCTGGAGGAGGCGAGGGTGGGGCCCGGCCCCCACTGCCTGGATCTGTCATGGTTGCCCCAGAGATGCTCCCTCTGGGGGTGGGGGGGGGTGCTGCCACCCCTGACAGGCACCTCTCCAAGTCACACTGCCTGAGCACGCTTTTTCCTCCCCAACCCCAATTGCAGTTTCAGGAAGGAGATTCTGGCCAACGTCCAAGCTGAAATGCTCCACCTTCAGTGCTCTCAGACCCACCCATCTCCCCCTCCCCACCCCCATGAGCGCTTTCCTGCTCTGGGGCCTAGCCACTTGCCCTGGGGACTAAATCCAAGGACTGAGGAACAGGCTGGCTGGGAGTGGGGGGCACGTTAGAAGCTGCATCATTGCCCTCACAAACCAGGGTTCCCTTCAGACGGCAGCAGCGTGGATCTGAGCTCTCTGTGGAACCAGGCAAAGGGGCACGAGGGATTTCAGAGGAGTGAGCAGTTCGGAGCTGTCGCTGTCCACTCCGGGACGTCCGCGTCTGGACCCGCCAGGGGCTCGTTTCCAGCCCATGGAGGCTCAGAGCAAGCCCAGCACCCGGTGCAGCATGGGCACGAAGGTGGTGGTACAGAGCCCCACCGACGTGTAGGTGACGAACTTATAAGGCACCTCAATCTCCAGCCGCCGCCGGGCCTCCTTGTTCCTCGTGACCACCTTGAACCAGGAGAACAGCACTTGCAGCGACAGCCTCTGCACCAGCTGTCGGACCCCGAGGATCAGCACGATGCCCACCGCGAACCTGCCCAGCCCCAACAGCACTTGGTGGGGAGTGAGCGTCAGCACGTTCTCCGTGGTGGGTCCCAGGCCACCGGGGGCGGTGGTGGGCTCCGACACCAGCTGGAAGAAATGGTTGATCCAGAATCCGATGGTGGCGCCGGCCCCGGCAGCCAGGATGGTGGTGGTGTCAGCCCTGGTGGGGCTGTAGAACTCGGACACTGGGTAATTGTAGCTCAGGACAAAGGGCACCACCAGGGCACACACGGGGAACAGGGGGCTGGCCGAGTCCAGGCTGTCCATGAACGTCCAGGCGGGGTAGGTCAGGACGATGAGGACCGTGGTGATGAGAACACCACCTAGCACATCCTGCCGGAAGAAGAGGAGAGAAGAACATGAGCTCGGGGTCACTTGCGCAGCGGGGAGGGTGTTTGCCTCACACACAGCCGACCCGGGTTCCATCCCCGGCATCCCGTATGGTCCCCTGAGCACTGCTAGGAGTAATTCCTGAGTGCAAGAGCCAGGAGTAAACCCTGAGCATCACTGGGTGTGACCCCAAAACCAAAGAGAAAAATAATAAAGACTCTAAGCTGGGGTTGGAGTGATAGCACAGCGGGTAGGGCGTTTGCCTTGCAGGCGGCTGACCTGGATTCGATTCCCAGCATCCCATATGGTCCCCCGAGCACTGCCAGGAGTAATTCCTGAGTGCATGAGCCAGGAGTAGCCCTGTGAAATGCTGGGTATGACCCAAAAAAGCAATATATATATATATATATTCTTTTTCTTTATATATATATATATATATGTGTGTGTGTGTGTGTGTGTGTGTGTGTGTGTGTGTGTGTGTGCTGGATACAGCCAATTTGACCCAAAGCCAATGACTAGTTAGATGGTTTGTTCTGGTTTTGCTGGGGCTACTGGGAATGGAACACAGGACCAGGTATATAGAAGCACATTCAATGAGCCACATCCCCAGCCCCCATGTAGGTATTTCTGCAATTGGCTACAATAAACTTTCTCACTGGGGGTCCTCAGTCTCAGGATATCACCTCCAGCTTGGACACCCTAGAAACGGGAGATGACACTTCAGGAACTACACAATCCTACATATGGGACAGCAAATGGAAAGAGGGAAACAGTGTAGAGATCTCAAGAACAGCCAAGACAAGTCACGTGGCACAGCTCAGAGTCACGGCAGAGAAGCTGCCAGCCAGTTTTGCGAGAGCTGTACCTGAAGCAGTGGGTGAGGGGTTAGAGTGTGGGAGTAGGAAATAAAAGAAGAGAGGGAAGAGCACGTGTGATCAACAGGGACATGTGGAATGATGGAAGAGGAGCTGGAGCAGCAGTACAGCAAGTAGGGTGTTTGCCTTGCATGTAGTTGACCCGGGTTCAATCCCCGGCATCCCATATAGTCCCCCGAGCACAGCCGGGAGTGATTTCTGAGTATAGAGCCAGGAGTAAGCTCTGAGTATTGCTGTGTGTGACCCCCCAAAGCCCAAAGATGAATAAATAAATAAAATTTTTAAAATGTATAAATAAATAAAATGATGGAAGACCAAGGGGCAATGGGAGTTTTAAAAAGCATGGTGAAATAAATAAATAAATAAATAAATAAATAACGGGTCCAAAATGGTAGACTAAATATTCTTCCTGTGGCAATAAATAAATCAATAAAGTAAACCCCAAACTCCTTTCTGTACAAGAAGATAATCAGAATACAAAGTAATCACAGTCTTAGGAATTTAGCCTAAGACAATAATCAGAGATAATCACACAACTGGGCTGCAGCGATAGCACAGTGGGTAGGGCGTTTGCCTTGCACACAGCCAACATGGCCGACCCGAGTTCGATTCCTCCACCCCTCTCGGAGAGCCCGGCAAGCTACCGAGAGTATCTCGCCTGCACGGCAAGGCCTAGCAAGCTCCCTGTGAAGTATTCCATATGCCAAACACAGTAACAAGTCTCAGGATGGAGATGTTACTGGGCCCACTCGAGCAAATCGATGAATAACGGGAGGACTGTGACTGTGACTGTGAATCACACAACTGCTTAAAAGGGAGACTGCACCCTGACCAGCTGGGCCCAATGGTGGCCACACCCACCAGTGCCAGGGAGTCACGCTGGTCACTGGGTCTGTCCAGGGCCTTGCACACAAAAAGCAGAAAGCACAATGCGCTTCACACTCTGAGCCACATCTCTGGTCCCTGGAACTCCTGTTCTTTAGTCTTTACGGAGTCTTGTGCCTGGTGTTGGGAGAGAAGGTCAGTGTGCATGAGGTATACACACACATTATGCCAAATATCAAAATGTGAAGGAATCGAAAACATAGAAATGTTATGGTGCTTGTAAATATGAATTGTAAAATGGTTCATGGTTACAATTCTGCGTGTAAATAAACACCTGTGCCTTTTATTCAAAACAAACAAACAAACAAACGTTGCTCCAAGGTTTACCTATAGGATGATTCTTGCTGGTTTATTTTAGCTTAAAGCAATTCACTGGAAAAAGTGGCCCCTGGGATACTAGGGAGACATAGTACAGGGGTTAAGGTGCTTTGCCTGGGGCCAACCCAAATTCAATTCGCAGCACTATCTGTGGTCTCCTGAGCAGCACAGGCTAGGGTCAAAAACAAAAACAAGAACAAAAAAAAAGAAAGGGAAAACAAAGTGTGTGTGTGTGTGTGTGTGTGTGTGTGTGTGTGTGTGAGCGGCGGGGTGGTGGTAGGGGGAATGGTAACACATGGTTCAGACAAATATTTAAAAATAAAACAAAATAAAAAACTTCAACAATAAAGAACAGAGCATACGTCCTACACAAGAATCTGGAATGATCAGAGCTAGTATTTACCACAAAATAAGATGGAAATCCACATGCTTTCCTATTTACTATAGCTTGAACATAATCCACTTGAAAAGATACATTTCTGGGGCCAGAGCCATAGTACAGCAGGTAGGGCCTTGCACAGGGCCGACCTGAGTTTGATTTGATCCCCAGCATCCCATATGGTCCCCCAAACACTGCCAGGAAAAATTCCTGATTACAGAGCCAGGAGTAACCTCTTAGTATCCCATATGGTCCCCCAAGCACCTTTAGGAGTGATTCCTGAGTGCAGAGTCAGGAGTAACCCCTGAACATCGCTGGGTGTGACCCCCCCCAAAAAAAAGAACAGATACATTTCTGTCACCTCAGTTACCAGGGCTTTTTAAATAACCACAAGTGATTACTCCAGGGCCAGTGCTCTAGTTCAGAGGGGCAGAGCATTGCCTGGCGTGGGCAAAGCCCTGAGTCTGAGCTCGAGCACAGCATGACATTCTGAGTACTGTGGACTATGGCCCCCTCCAAAACAATTCTTTTAAAATAAGATACATATATGAAGAGGAAGACAAACTTGACATAAAGAATGATCCTCTTTTTGGCCACAACCATCACGATCAGGGCTTACTCCTGGCTCTGTGATTTGGGAATCACTCCTGTGGGCGCTCAGGAGACCATCGATGGTACCGGATATGGTACTGGGGTTGGCCAACTGCAAGGCAAAGGTCCGGCCCGCTGTACTATCACTCCAACCCCAGAATGATCCTAATTTTATAAAGACACATACTTTCATGCGTGGGAAAGGTATAGAAGGAATCTGGGCTCAAATACTTATTTTTTTTTTAAATAATTACAAATAAGAAGTACCTGATTCATGCTTTGAGTGTTTTTTAAATCTTCTGCAGTGAATGTAGGGTGTTTGCCTTGCGTGCGGCCAACACAGCTAACCTGGGTTCGATTCCTCCACCCCTCTCAGAGAGCCCGGCAAGCTATCGAGAGCATCTCGCCTGTACGGCAAAGCCTGACAAGCTTCCCGTGCCAAACACAGTAACAACACAGTAACAAACACAGTAACGACACAGTGCCAAATACAGTAACAACAAGTCTCACAATGGAGACATTATTGGGTCCGATCGAATAAATTGATGAACAATGGGAGGACAGTGCTACAGTGCTACAGTAATAAAAATATAATCGAGGCTAACAAATCAGCATGTTAAAATTGGGATGTTCGAAAATTGATGAAAATAGGAATCATGAGCTGCTCCTTTTAAGATTTCCTGTCAAGCCAAAATAATGAAATGTCCCCTAAGAATCTATGATGCTCCACATACCAGTGCTCCACGGTGCACATATCAGTTACACTTTTAAAGGCACATGGGCTCTATTGCCATTGTTACTCTACAGACTGCACTGAGTGAAACAGAAAACCTTTGACTCAATTTCTCATCCCAGGTTTAAGCAAAGCCTTTGAAACTTGTTGGAAAAAAAAAAAATCATCATCTCAAACTAACATTTTCCAAAGCTGAAAAGCAGACAGATCTAAATCCTTTTATCTATGGACCTACTTTCATTCTTCATTCCAAAAATTTAGTATCCCCATAAAAGCTTGAGCTCTATTCTATCCCATTACGAAAGACAATAATAAAGGCAGGCAACTGAAAGTCCTTAGAAAGAAATGAAGAGAGTTATCCCGAGCTTCAGAACAAGTTCCAGCGACCACCTTTACAAATATCGAAGTATTGATTATTCTTAGCCAAACATGCCTCCTGGTAAACATCTGTAGCTATTCCTAACCCAGAGAACTCCCAGCACTGGTGAATCTTAGCCCTGCATCTCATTCCAGTATGCAGTTTCCTGTGGCCAATTTACATTCTATCTCCAACATCTTCCCTGAAGAATGCTATTGAGGGGACCAGCACAGCACAAGGTTAGCTAGCTAGAAAGAAGGGGTGAGAACGACCCCATTCATTCGATTGTTAGGAAAGAATGCATTCAGATCTTGGAACTATTGATGCCCGAGGACCCTATGATGCTGGCATAGGCCCCTCTACCAGGCTCCCACCCCTGCCCCTGCTGAGAATGGGCAGGGCCTGCACTGCCCTTGCTGCCTTCACCAAGGAAGTTGCAGTCTGGAGCTGAGTCAAAGGCGACACCCACTGCATTGTAGACACAGAGAATTTCTCTGAATTGCCAGCTGACCCTGACACACAAACTGAAGACCAGGTCCCCTCCTCTTCCCTCAATTCCCACCCCCCCACCTCTGAGGGAATTCCAGACAATCATTTTCATCGAGGCTTCCCAGTTAACACACTCACGTGACTTCTTTCTTTTTTTTTTTTTTCTCCATGCTAGCTCACAATTTATTCAATCGGGCAGATGAGACAGTCACAGAAGCATAGTGGCAAGTGGGGGCCAGCTCAGTTCATGAATATGAATCTAGATGATTCCAGGGAAAACCCTATGTGTAATGTGATTAGCATCTGTATAGGGGACAAGGAGTGAAGGCATACAATAAAAAAATATTAGCTTCCCATTGAAGCACACCAAGGGGC